CAGAGAATGCGGTGCTTTAGAAGCTGCGGATACACTATTAGGGAATCCCTTGTACGATACGGATAATGATACCATGGTCAAATGGATCGATGTTAATGAGGTGAGAAATAGAAAAGTTAAAACATTTAATGAAATTTAAGCTCTTGATGAAAATTCTACGAATATTTACTGTTCGTCACTCATCGATGATTACTATCCAAACAGACCTCAGGAATTAGAATCATTGAATTTGTACGATTTTGCCAGATTCTGGGAAATTACGAAACAGATGTCAAATAATGACGAAGTCAAGTGTTACAAACTGGCATCGGGTTTATTTTTAAAAAAACGAAAAAAGGGTTATTTAATTAACCATTATCGATTTAATATAAAAACTGAGCCCGAAAAATACTTTTACTCGCTGCTTCTTTTGTTCAAACCATGGAGAGATTTGAGTGAACTCAAAGGTACATTCGAGACTTACACGGATGCCTTTAAGATTTCCGAGTCTGTTTTAACGAAGGCAATGAAATATCACGAAAGGCTCGAAGAAATACAGAAAGCTTTTGAGAACGTTGCTGAATTAATCGAGAAGCGCGAAAATGATCTGAAAACAGCAGACAGAGACAAATCCGATGACGATGAACTGGATTGTAATCCGATAGAAGCTGACGACGCGATGAAAGATCTGGAAGATTTTGGTAAGATTGACGACCCGATTGATTTATCGCAAATGATGTCGCAATTGAACAAAGACCAAAAAAGAGTCTTTGATGGAGTATGCCAAGTTTTACAAGATAAGAATCAGATTTTGCGACTGTACGTAAGTGGCGAGGGTGGTACAGGGAAAAGTTTTCTAATTGAAACGATTAAACATTGGATCAGAATAAATTTGGAAAAAACGACTGCCATATCTGCTCCCACGGGTATCGCAGCATTCAATATCGATGGCTTGACAATCCATAGAATGTTTCAACTACCGGTTAGTCATGAATCTACACCAAAATATACGCAATTGTCAGACATGGTCTTGAAAACTTTGAGAGACAAATTAAAGAATGTCGAATTATTTATAATCGAAGGAATTACATGTAACAATGCAATGATGGATTTAGGAACGACTGTATTCAGTGATGGTCAAGCCTATGTAGGTTTGTCACGAGTAAGTAAATTGGAAGGCCTACATTTGATAAATTTCAATCCAGCATCAGTTAAAGCAAACTCGAGAGCCATTGTAGAATATAATCGACTGAGATTTATATTCAAATCTGAACTGCCACAAATCAATCCGTCCGAGAAAAAGGTTGTGAAAATGTACGATCGTCGATGGGATATCTCTAATATCATTGATGATATGCAGAATTATGATTGTGAGGAACCAGAAAGTATAGTTACGTGGAAAATATATGGCCTTTGCAATAACGATGCTGTTTCGTGTTACGCTAATGTAATATTACAATGTGCGTTTCATTGCGTACGTATTAGGCAACAAATACTGAAAAATAAAGCATCGAATGTATTGATTGATGCTATCTGCGCGTATGGTGAACGTAAATATTGCAACATTCAAGCGGTTAGAAGATCTGTCGGAAAACGCTTCGAAGAACGAACACAACAAGATGTTTCGGAATTTTTTACGGCTCTAATGTCGACGTATTCCGACATCAATGATGTATTAAAACTCGAATTAAAGCACGTAACATGTTGCTCGAATGTCAAATGTAATTACAATGTAACTAAGCTGGAAAGCAGTAGTTTGTTAATATTACCTATACATTCGACATTAAAAAGGAAAAAGGTGTCACTCTACAAAGTTTGATTAATGTAGAATTTTCTAAATGGGAAACGATAAACGGCAATTGTAACGAATGTAAGGGCACCGTGTTGAAAAAGAAAACCGTAATCGAATCAACTTTATCCGTCGTAGTAATACAGCTCAATTTATATACTTTTGTAAACGGTGCTTCTAAAAAAATTATCAACAATCGGATTACCGCCGTGCCGACGAGTAATATCACGATTAATAAAAAAAAGTACAAGCTAATAAGCGCTATATTTCACGAAGGTGAAGAAATGAATCGTGGTCACTACACGTGTATGTTGAGAGCTGACACAAAATCGGAATGGTATTACTCTAATGATATGGAAGTGTTCAAGAAAAAATGGCCCAAAGGAGCACAAGGGGCATACATATTGTTCTTAGAACAGATTAAATAATGGCGCTGTATAAAGGCTGCCGTAAACGCTACATTAAAACATCAACTGTTCTAGCGCTGTATAAAAGTTGCCGTAAGCGCCAAAATAAAATATCGGCTGCTCTGGCGCTTTATAAATGGTGCTGTAAGCGCTGCATTAAAACGAGTGCAATAAGTTTCTAATTTGACCTAGGCTTCATGACATTTCAAAAAGTATCACCAAGAAAAAAATTATCAGACAGAAATATGTATGTCGTGTTAAAATCGGAGATACGAAGAAAAATATATGGTTGCGTTCTCACGAGAATGGGCGATGGAGGGGCCCATTCTTTATTTTCAATATTCATACAAGAATATAAATTCATTCTGTTGCAATTGAAATAAATGTGCAATGTATCGTTAAAAGTTATTACAATTATACAAACATTTTAGGTGAGGTCTTAGGTGTACAAGGTACAGGTCTCACCTTTCAAACGCAGCCAACTTCATGTAAATCGGTTGACAGGTTAAAAAGTTACGCGCTTTTTAATGACAGTATGTTTTGTGCTTGTGTCGTAAAAATACAATGGAAATATTAAATTTTGTTTTAAACTTGGAAAAACATTTAGTGAGACGTACGAATTGATGCAAAAAGTGTATGGTGATAATTGTTTAGCTCGTTCAAAAGTTCATAAGTGGTTTAACCGATTTAAAAATGGTCGTGAAGATTTGAATGATGATGAAAGACCTGGTCGTCCAGAAGGAAGTAATCGTGCTGAATTGGTGGAAAAAGTCCGCGAAATCATTGCTGTTGTTGTCAAACTGTTAATGGAGAATACTATTTACAAGTTTTACATCGTTTGTGGTCAAGAATTGTTCGTGTTAGACCTGAATCCAGAGAGGAAACAGCTGTTTTTATTGCATGATAATGCACTACCTCACAAAACCAAAAAAGTTCGTGAATTTTTGATGAAAAAACAGATTTGTGTCATCGACCACCCTCCGTATTCTCCTGATCTATCACCATGCGACTATTTTCTGTTCCCTAAACTGAAAACTGCCATGAAAGGAGCGTTTTACGATGATATTCCAGCCATTCAAGCAGCCGTGACACAGGTGTTAAAGGACATTCCTTTAGATGACATGAAAGAGTCTATGCATAAATTGGTTGATCGTTCTAAACGTTGTATTGAGTTAAATGGAGACTATTTCGAATAAAAAATAACTTTCAAACATAGTACGATACGTGTTTTATTCTATATCTTAAAAGTCCCCTTATTTATTGAACATACTGTGTATTAAATAGATGTTAACTGTTCACAAGAATCTTAGTCACTAAGCGTTAAGAAGATAGAGACGAAACTAAATGTGTCTTTCGTAATTTAAATCGTCATAATAAAGTCAAATAAAGTCAAATAAATAAATAGGTGGATATAAAAATAAAAATAAAATTAAAAGTAAAAAAAAATAAATAATAAAAACGACTTAAATAACGTCAAGAACATGTTTTACATAAAAAAACAAGGAAAAAGTATTAATTTACAGAAAGATACGGAGAATTTCAGTGGGATTTATGATCGTGTTCTTGACGTTATTTAAGTCGTTTATATTTATTTTTTTTTTTACTTTTAATTTATTTTTATTTTTATATCCACCTATTTATTTATTTTTATTTATTTGACTTTATTATGACGATTTAAATTACGAAAGACACATTTAGTTTCGTCTCTATCTTCTTAACGCTTAGTGACTAAGATTCTTGTGAACAGTTAACATCTATTTAATATGTGCTTACTTCTGTCAGTCTTGCATTGTTCATCAAAACAAGCGTTAACATTGTCGGTAGTTTGCATAGAAGTTGATTTACTGTTTTTAATTTTGGTATGTAACACATTTTTGTTTTTAAATGTATAATTAATTGTTGCGAATAAGTGTATTAAATTATAATTATTTTGATTGAACTTTTTATAGATGTACTTGAAAAGGGCTGCAATGACAGCCGAAACGTTGTTGTATTTCAAATAATTATTTATAATAAATTATTGCCAGTCTGGTCGACTTTAAACATTGAGGAGTGGTTTTTTATTAATAAGAATAATTTTTTTAAATTGATCAATATATTGGTTCAATTTATCGCGTCATCAAAGGGGAAGGAAAAGAAAATCTCCGATTATGTTTATTTCTTATCAATCAGATATTCGATCAAATGATAAATTGTCGATACTATCTTCGATTGAATTTGCTCGATTCCGAAGTCAAAGTTCACAACTTGAATTTTTATCAACATTTATAATGTAAAATTGTAAAATATAACTAATTTTCTTATCGTGCGAAGTCAATCAAAGATTAGATTGACAATTACAAAACAAAAGCATATGATTTTTCGAATATTTTTAATTATGGTTGACAAATAAACGTAATCGGAGATTTTCCTTCTTTCCTCTTCGATGACGATAAATTAAACCAATACACAGATCAATTTAAAAATATTCTTATTACATATTCTTGTTATAATTTTATTAGTTTCATGAATAAATTATTTTATTCAAAAAAATTGCAAAATTATAAGTCCTGGGCCCTGTTCAAGGATTATCAACCTGGTGCTGTCGGCAATGCTGAATATATATATATATATATATATATATATATACATATATATATAATATTTTTGTATTGTGTTAGGCCTTACGCACAAAATAGAAAAATATAAAGGGTAAAAATACATATTATAAATTAGTAAGAGAGAAAAGAAAGTCTTTTACTTTCTTTCTTGTTTAATAATTATTTTTATTTCTAATAATTTTTCTGTTGCGTTGAGCCCTATTAGTACCAGAGATATATACGAATTGATACGTGTCTGTTGATCACGTGTTCAACCTGTGCACGTTACCACATTTCCGGCAGCGAGCACGAGCAATTGTTTCAAGAAGTACTGTTGCTGTGTGATTGTAATACTGATATTCTTTCGCGCCTAAAGTTTTGTGAGCTGGTGTATCTTTTTGAAGAGATATCTCCTCTGAAGAGCTGAGAGAAAAGCTGATATCTCCTCTGAGCTGACTTCTCCATATTGCATAATTGTGTGCATAGTTTTTTCAAGTATTAGACGAAACTTTTTTAAAGTAAGTACAATCATATTAATAAAATACACATATTTATAACTTTCACTCTTTTTTATTGTGTTCAGTGTTAGTCTAACCTCTAGCTTTGACTATGGATAAGTTAAGGTTTCTTTAGAACTCATTAATAATAATTCTGTATTTTTTAATACACATATCAATAACATCACAGAAATTGTAATTGATAATAATATTGCTACTGATAGTTTAATATTGCCTACAAATTCATGCTGTAATAATAATGTAAATGTCAATATTCCATACAACAATGAGTTAGTAGATAGTTTAATATTGCCTATAAATTCATGTTGTAATAATGATATAAATGTCAATGTTCCAAATAATGAGTTATTTAATAATGATGTCGAAGAATTACCGAATAATATTGAGTGCAATAATAATGAAAATAATATATCGTTAACCTCAAAATTAGCTGTATGGGCTGTAAAAGATAATATAACAATATCGGCGTTAGGAAATTTACTTCCTATAATACGAGAAATACCGGGATGTAGCAATATTCCAAAAGATGCAAGAATAGTACTAAAAACACCTAGTAAAATAATTGTAACACCTTTAGGTTCCGGGACATATTTTTATTTTGGTATAGAAAAAACGATAAATTTATTTTGTATAAATCATAAAATCAACTTAGAACGAGATGAAGAGTTTTTATTAGCTGTCAATACTGATGGTTTACCGTTAAGCAAAAGTTCGAATAGTTCGTTTTGGCCTATTTTATGCTCAATCAAATCAATAAAAGTTCTTATAAACCACATATTTTTAGTTGCTTTATATCATGGTTCGGAAAAACCAAAATCTGCTAATAATTTTTTTAAAGATTTTGTAAATGAATGTATTCATCTAACAACTAATGGCATATTAATAAATTCTTTTTGATACAAATTCAGAATTTTAATGTTAATTTGTGATTCTCCAGCTAAATCATTTGCTTTATTTATTAAAGGTCATACAGGCCATTTTTCATGCACAAAATGTGAAGAAGAGGGTGAAATGTTTAATCATGTATTACGGAGACAGAACGTTTTTGCAAAAGAACTGATCATACATTTAGAACTACTGCTCAACCGGAACATCATATTGGCAAAAGTATACTATTAGATATACCTAACTTTAACATGATAGATAATGTACCAATAGATTACATGCATAATCTTTTATTAGGTGGTATGAAAAGGCTCCTTTGTCATAAACGGTATGACTGGATTTATGGTAAACCACCCCATAAATTACGAGCTCGCGATGTAAATAAAATTTCAGAAAATCTTCTAAAATTAAAGCAATACGTTCCTTATGAGTTTTTTTTAGAAAAACACGTTCTATAATTGAGTGTAAGAGATATAAAGCCACGGAATATAGATTTTTTTTGCTCTATTCTGGTCCTATAGTTTTGAAAAAGGTTTTATCATCTAAAATTTATAATAATTTCATAACATTAAGTCTTGCTAGTTCTATAATGATAAGTCAATGTTATTCGAGAAATGAAGATTATGTAATATATGCTCACAGTTTGATGAAACACTTTGTCTGTCAGTCTATTCAAATTTACGGTCCGGATTTTGTATCACACAACATACATAACTTTTTGCATTTAAGCGACTGTGTAAAATTATATGGTTCACTTGACAATTTTAGCGCTTTTCCTTTTGAAAATTATATGCAACAATTAAAGAAGAAAGTTCGTAAATCAGCTCAGCCTTTACAGCAAGTTATATGTACATCGCGTGCTTGAGGAAAGTAATATTGCTCAACATAACTTTAATAATATCTAATATAATATAAGTGTTCGATATACGACCTATATGATTCACGCCGGACACCGATCGCGGTGATATCATTGTTTTCGTTCTCGTATCATCTCGGTGAAATTCGGCGTATTCCGAAAACACGGACGAGTGGGGAAATGAGCCTCGACGGTTTCCATCGATGTGTCCGTGATATACTTCTGTTACAACAGTCGCGCGAATAACAAGTAAGACCTTCACAACAACCGGCGAGCGAACGAACGAACATTGTACATCGATCTACTCGGCACCGCAACAATAAATCTCGATCTTGAGAATTAAATTTGATTGCATATGTTACGTGGATTTCCCCGTCACATCACAGTTTGGCGAGACAATACAATTAAGAGAATTACGGACATCAAAATACTCGCATCACGCATACGAGATCACATTTTCTCGTACAATAAGCGATTAATAATATAAGCGAGTAGTTTGGGCACTTATGGTAAAGTATATATAAATTGTCAGACACAGACACACACACACACACACACACACACACACACACACACTATATTGTGTATTTGTGTAACAAATATATATTTTATAAATCTTTTGTATATATTTATATATGTATAGCAATTATATTACATAAGTAATAGTCATATATATATTATTTATTAAGATAATTTACTTTTTAATTAAAAATACAACTACGTATTTATTTTTCATTTTTTTAATCAAATTTTAATCGACTTATATATTTATATACTTAGTTGTTACTTTAATTTTAATTAATACTAATTTAAATAATTATTATTTTGCAGACACTTATAAAAAAGCGCATCAAAAGGCAAACAAAACCAAAAGTACAAACATTCTTACTTCTAATAATGAAGAGTTGAAAGAGAAAAGAAAACGTAATACAAAAACTAAAAAACGCAATAACAAATCTGAAAGTGAATCGTCCTTCTCTGAAATAGATAGATCATCATCAGATGATGATGCACTATATCCTGACGTTCCAAATTTTAACGAACAAATTGACTCAAACAATAGTAAGTAAAAAATATGATGTTGGTATAAGATATTATAATTATGTAATAAAATATTCATTAAGATTATATTTTGTAAAAAATATTTATAATAAAAATAATTAATATTAAAAATACAGAAATATAAGAAAACATAAAAAACAAATAAGAAAAATTTAAGATTTTAATTGCACTTTTTCTTGATATAGCTTTAAACCAGTACTTACTTAAAATTTGTAACAGCTATTAATGTAGAAAAGAGAATATAATTATATGTAAAAAGATATATATTTAATTTATATTTTTTCTAGGAAAGAAAAATCAAATAGAAAATAACACTCATAAGTTCAAAGTTACTGTTGATACTATTTCTAATTCTGGTACTAGTACTTCTATTTCTAATATTGTTGAGTCATATCATAAAAACCCGGCTTTGGAATTAAATTCTGGTAAGAAAGATAGTTCGTATAATATATTATAATTTATTACATAAGATATACGTATATATTGTAATAAAATAAATACAATTTAAAAATTTAAAAAAATGGTATATATATGTAAATAAAATATTAAAAAAAATATTACTAAACAATAATTTATAATTAATTATTTACATTTTAGAATTTGGAAAACGGATTTGTAGAGAATTACACATTCTCAGTTTGAAAATGGATGATATTTTCGAAGGTATTAATGTTCTACTAAAAAATAAAGCAGATCTAGTACAAAATGTTGTATGTAATGAAATTCCCGAAATTATGCAATCATTTCCTGTAAATGATAATTCTTTGGCTGAATTGGAGAACTGGTTAATGACATCTGAAAATAATAAAACAATTTTGGTAAGAGAAATTAAAATATTCTTTCTACTATTGTAAATAAAGTATAAATAGTATGACAAATTATATGTATATATATATTTTAATAAGATAATTTATACTCAATTTAGTAAAAAGAATATTTTAACTTGATTATATGTGTGTATAATTGTATCTTATATTATTATATTTAAATATTTTATAAAGACTACATATATATTTACATATATATATATATATATATATATATATTTTGTAGGTGGTGTCAGGATAGTTTTAGATGATGTCAGGGCGTAATTCTAATAAGGCTTCTAGTGGATCTTAACAAAGGATCTTTATTAGGTTAAACTGTACTCGATAGAACACGCACGACGGCTCACTGCCGTATATCTGTCCAACGGCTCTCTCTCTCCGCGGGGAACTGACTTCTTCCCCTTTTCTCTTCTTTCTTACGCAGCGCCGCTAGCGGTAGAGGGGGGGGGGTTGAAACGCAATTCGCCACTCACGCGTGTATATAAATGAATATCGGTAGAATAATAATTCGCCTACAGTCGGCCAGCCTGACATTACGACCGTCTCGGTCGTACGTATAGGAACAAAACGTATTAAGTAAATATATCCAACATATTAAGTAACGCCGGATAAAACAAACATTTCTTATGGACTAAATAAACATACTGATTAGTCATATTTATTTGGATATATATGGTGGCATCGCGTCGGCGGCAATGACGCTATTATAGGGCATTTGAGTGATTTGAAATCCCTCGACATCGGTTATTACATAACGGTCAGAACCTAGCACTCGCTTTACAACGTAAGGCCCTTTATACTTTGGTATGAGTTTTTTATTGGTACCGACAGAAGTGTCCACATTACGGATCATTACGTAGTCGCCCTCTTTATATTGTTTCGCTTCTTTGTGTTTCTTGTTATAATAGCGTTCGTTTTCTTTCTGACTCTTCTGAATTTTTTCAGAGGCAGCTTCTCTTAATAACACTAGATCTCGACTAGTATCAGTATCTAAAACTAGTTTAAGTTTATCGTTAACTTTACCGAGTTGTTCTACGCCAAATAATAGTTTACTGGGGGTTTCCCCCGTTGATCGACAAATCGTATTATTAAATGCATATTCTATTTGATCTAAAACTTGATCCCATTTGTGTGGTTCGTCACATAACTTCGCAATCATCGGAGTAATGTCGTGGTTGAACCGTTCTATTTGACCATTTGCACGCGGAGTACCAACAGCTACGAGGATATGCTGAGTAGACTCATTATTTATAAATTCAGTAAATTTATCTGATGTAAAGGCTGTTCCGCGATCGCTCACAATGCGTCGAGACTTACTATAAGTTCGATAATAATTTCGCAAATGATTAATTGTCTCATTCGAGGCCGTAGATTTGCACGGATATACTTTCAAAAACTTTGTAAAAGCATCTACTACTGCTAAAATATATTTGTATCCGCGACCGGTTTTTTCAAAGGGACCACAATGGTCGACATGGATCGTTCGAAAGGGTAAGTTCTCTTTCGGTATACTGTGTAACTTGCCTTCTTTCTTTTTCCACTAGAAGGGGAAAACTCTATACAACGCAGACAATTAGAAATATAGCACTTTACTTTCTCTCTCATTTGTGGGAACCAGTAAATTTGCCTAATGTTAGCAATAACTTTATCGAGGCCGACATGGCCAATGTCATCGTGACACGTACGGATTACATTACTTTCCATTGATATCGGTACATAAAATAAGAGTTTTTTACCCTTATCTTTACGGTAAACAAGACCGTCTCGCATTCAAAGAATTTATCCTCAGATTTTTCTAATTTATTTCGAATGTTTACTATATTTACATCCCGATCTTGTTGAATAGATAAAGTTCGGTCGAACGAATTTGCTTCTAATGTCAGAATGCTATGACATCGACTCAACGCGTCGACATGATTCATCTGTTATAACCGGGTCGATGTACGACATTTGATAACAGTATTTGCTCAAAAATAATGCCCAAACGATATATTCGCGATTAACCTTCTGTTTACTTAAAGTAGGCGAACTGTCGCGTCTGTTTTTATTTAGTTGCGCCCCCGTGTTACGCCCCTGGATCTACATCTTTGTATCGGGTGATACTTTTCGCGGGATCAACTCTTTACGCTTCCGGGAGATCGTCGTCAAGGGAGTTGTTGTTAAACAACTAAGGGTCTTCTTCTGTTTTCGGGAGACATGACAGTTTTGGTCTAGCGGTCGCATCGTGCGGACGTTTTCCGAGACCGGAGCTTCTTTGCATTACGAATGCACTATTTGTTATATTTCATTGGTTTCGTGTATTGGTTCCTCATATTAAAGTTCATTTCCCTATCATGCGAGTGTCTTTATTTCGCGCGCGAGTGAGAGTGACTGTGTGTGAGTGACTGAGCGAGAGGCGTCCCGAGGACGCAACATTTTGGGGGCTCGTCCGGGATCAAAACCGAAAGAATCGCATCTTCCTGAGAGAACGCCAAAATGACGACTCAACATTCGCCGAAAGCGACGCGTTCCCGAACAACGATGAAGGAGATAGACGAGACGGATGCGTTGCAGACCGCACTGCGAGAACTACGAGAAATGCGGGCCGAACGAGAACATCAGCAAGCTCGCTTTGAGACTCTTCTCCGAGAGAAGGACGAACAGCTGCCACCAGCTCGAATTGAGGATCTCCTCGCAGCAAACTAACCAGCTAAGTCCTTCTAATATAAGAGCTTCTGGGGATACACGACTGAATTTAGCTTGCGCGAGTACCGCGAGTGCCGCGATAGCCGCGAGTGCCGTGATAAACGCGGGTGAGACGACCGGTGACTTTCGTGCGAAAACGGGCTTAAAACTGAAGCCCGATACATTCGATGGAAGGGTTCCGCTGCGGGAGTTCCTCTCCCAATTTCTTTTGATAGCCGTTGCGAATAATTGGGATGAGAAAGCAAAAATGATTACTCTCGCTGCAAATTTAAGGGGAAAAGCTCGGTCCGTTTTAGAAAATGTCGAGAATTTTGAAGAATTAACATTCGCGGAATTAAAATCAAAATTAGAGTTGCTTTTTGAAGACGGAAACTTGACGCAAAATTATTACTATCTTTTTACGACACGGAAACAAAAATATGGAGAGGATTTCGCTTCCTTTGGAGCCGAACTTGAGAGACTGTCGCGTCTGGCTTACCCCGAATGTCCATATGCGGTCCGCGATAAAATAGCATGCGCGCAATTTGTCTCGGCATTAATAGACGGGTTTGTCAAAAGAACCCTTCAACTGGAGGGAATTACATCCTTAAATTTGGCTATAGAAAGAGCTAAGGCCATAAAAATAATTCAGGGGGATAGTTTTGATAGAAAAAGAGACAATTTTAGTAATAAAGGAAATTACGGCAAAATAAGTCAAAATTATCAAAAAGGAGAGAGGAGCGACGCGCGAACCGATTCCGAAAAAAAGAAAAGCGAACGGTTTGACTCGAAAGGGGAAGCGCAAGCGAACAACTTTTCGGCCAAAGAGAAAGAATGTTGGTCTTGCGGGAAGATTGGGCATTTGCGTTTTCAATGTCCTGAGGCGAAGGAAAACTAGAGGTAGTTGAATTTTTCGGGGAAAATTCAATTCTTACAGAAAACGCCCCGACGTCCAATTTTGTTGATCTCATTGATTGTAGTGTTAGAAGGACCTTTCTCTATTGTAAAGAAATTCAACGATGTGGTGTACTGCATTCAGAAGACACCCAGACATCGGAAGAAAGTAGTGCATGCAGATAGATTAGCTCCATTTTTAGATAGAAATATTGATTGTTAATTAGAAATAGTACAAAACTCAAATAAAGATTGCTAGAAATTGGAGAGTTGTGTTTGTGTGTATATTTGTAAGTGCATTTTTTTTAATTGGTGAATTTATTCTGCGTAAGGAATGTTTTCTTTTCTAGTTGGAAATTTTTAAGAAGAGGCTTGCCTGAGTTTTTGTTACAAGAGAATTCTCTGAGGAAGTTCCTGCGACCATTACTCATCGAGGGCAACTGGCTCCTTTCAATTGAGAAGACCGTCTCATCTTCAGAAGATTGGTCATTTGGTTCATCACGTTGAAGACTGTCCCTCTCGTGGTTTTGATCCGTGGTTTTCCCACGAGACTGAGGGCAAATGCCGGGACAGAGACTTAGGGTGTTCACGAGGAACGTTGGGTCCACGGAAGATATTCCCCCCCTTTGTCTGAAGATTCATGGACCATTTCGTTATCCTTCCGGGAGACGGCGAGTATAGTGAAACCGCGAAGACAGCAGGGATATCTTCTATCAACTCGACTGTTATAGGAAAAATCTGGCCAATTTTTCTTCAAAAAACAGTTCGAGTACGGAGAGGAGGAGGGCGAAGCTCGGTAACCTGTAGCAGCAGCTAAGGGAGAGCAGGATTCGTCCGGACAGTGTAGACGCAAAAAGAGAGGGACCAGGCGTTTCGTTCGGTAACCTGTAGCAGCAGCTAAGGGAGAGCGGAGTATCGTTGGTGCCCTAATAGCAGCGTCAGAGTCCTGGGTCTTCAATCTCCGTGAGAATTGTCGGGACGACAATTTTGAAGAAGGGGGGCAGTGTTGCGCCCCCGTGTTACGCCCCTGGATCTACATCTTTGTATCGGGTGATACTTTTCGCGGGATCAACTCTTTACGCTTCCGGGAGATCGTCGTCAAGGGAGTTGTTGTTAAACAACTAAGGGTCTTCTTCTGTTTTCGGGAGACATGACAGTTTTGGTCTAGCGGTCGCATCGTGCGGACGTTTTCCGAGACCGGAGCTTCTTTGCATTACGAATGCACTATTTGTTATATTTCATTGGTTTCGTGTATTGGTTCCTCATATTAAAGTTCATTTCCCTATCATGCGAGTGTCTTTATTTCGCGCGCGAGTGAGAGTGACTGTGTGTGAGTGACTGAGCGAGAGGCGTCCCGAGGACGCAACATTATCTTAAAAGGGATACCGGCGAGATAGATATGAAACCGTTTAATCGCATAAATCACAGCGAGACACTCCAGCTCAAAACTG